TATTTATCACATGGAAGTTTTTCTGTCAAGAAGCATTTTCTGTCATCAGGGAGGAATTTTTTTTTTTTTTAATATTACTTGTTCTAGACCATCAGGAATGCTGTTATTATTCCTTCCAGGACAAAGAGTGCCCTCAGTGGGCCACAGATGGGTTCTCTTCTTTGAGCAACGTTTTAACTTCAGGGATGTGTATTTGGTGTATTTCAGTTCATTGTATAGTTTGCATTGATGTTTACATGGTCCTGTCCTCCTTCAGTGGTAGCTCCCATTCCCCCTGCACTCTTAGGACTCCTTACATAACCCTTTTAGTCTTTTCTAGCTTGCTGGTATTTAGGCCCTGGGATTACCTGTTCCTCTAAGGATCCCTGAGTCCTTTTTTGAAGGTAAAATGGCATTCAGTGCATGCAATTGTGGACTCAGCTCTGCTCATTGCTTTTGGGCCTTTTTGTGAATAGAACTAAGAAATACATGTTTTTGAAATAACAGAAATGCCCCATAAGTCAGGTGTGGTGGTGCATACCTATAATCCCAGCAGTTTGGGAGGCTGTAGCAGGAAGATTGCAAATTTGTGGCTAGCCTCAGCAACTTCATGAGACCCTGTTTCAAAATTAAAAGGAAAAAAAAAGCCAGGTATTATTAAAGTGATGTTTCCAATGAAGATTACCTTTGCAGGATTTTTACTTTGGTTTTAAACCAAGTCTTTTCTGTTACAATGAACATCTTGTTTTTCAATATCATTAGCATAATTGCTTGCTTTACTTTCAAAGGGTTTCAGAATAAATGGCTTAATACCACTAATAACAAATTGTAGACTAAAAGTTTGAGATTATTTTGCAGCTTTGTCCTTTAAAATATACTCCTTGTAGCATGTTTAGGTTTTTTGTTCCCTTTTTTTAAAAAGGCTACTCAAAGGAATTCTTTTCCCTGTATGTTTCTACCACTGACTTGATAATTAACTCATTTGTTTTGGTTGATTTTGAATTTGGGGGGCATTGTACTGCTTTTTTTTTTCCTTTTTGGGGGGGGGTACCAACAATTGAACTCAGGGGTATATGACCACTCAGCCACATCCCCAGAAGTTTTTTATATTCTGTTTAGAGACAGAGTCTCACTGAGTTGTTTAGGGTCTAAGTTGCTGAGGCTGGCTTTGAACTTGGGATGCTCCTGTCTCAACCTCCTGAGCTGCTGGGATTATAGGTATGTGCCACCACTCTGTTTTATCTTTTCAGGGGTAAAAGATTTACATGTTTTCATGAAAAGACCAGTAGGTTTGGAAAAGGCTCATTTCCAGCCCAGTTACTCTTTCTTGTTTACCCATGATTTTGGTTTATTCTTCCAGTATTTTTTTTTTTTGACAGATTTAAGTGATTTGGACTTCCCAGGTCTTATACAAAAGGCAGCATTTAGTAACAGAGTACATAGTTGATGGTATTTTATAAGGAGTGTGCAATCTTCTCCCACTCTCTCTGAGGCTCACTCCATGGCATATTTTTGAGCCTTCCTGGTAAGTGGAAGCAATAGAAGTGTAGGAGCCAAAGGAAACCTGGGAATGGAAATGAGGCAGTCAGGTCTAGGGGGAGAGAACAAGCAAGACTTGCATACGTCAAGCATATGTTCAGAGTCTTAAGCTTGTATGTGTGTGTTTGTGGTGTGCCAGGGATCAAACTTGGAGCCTCACACATGTTAAGTACATGCTCTACCATTAGGCTACCCTCTCAGATGCCTCGAGCCTTTTTTTTTAAATATATATATTTTTTTAGTTGTTGATCAACCTTTATTTTAATCATTTATTTATATGTGATGCTGAGAATCAAACCCTGTGCCCTTACAGATGTGAGGCTAGCACTCTACCACAATCCTAGCCATCAAGCCTTTTTTTAATGCTTTCATTTTCTCATCTGTGATCTGGACATATCAGCAGCACTAGATGGTTGGGGGAATTAAAAGCAACGATATATGTGTAGTCTTTAGAGGAGTTTTTTTTTTTTTTTTTTTTAAAGAGAGAGTGAGAGAGGAGAGAGAGGGGGAGAGAGAGAATTTTTTAATATTTATTTTTTAGTTCTCGGCAGACACAACATCTTTGTTGGTATGTGGTGCTGAGGATCGAATCCGGGCCGCACGCATTCCAGGCGAGCGCGCTACCGCTTGAGCCACATCTCCAGCCCTTTAGAGGAGTTTTGTCAGGGGTGAGTGTCTTGAGTGTTGGTTGCTCTTGTTATGGAGTTATTTTTTTAATATTTTGGGGGGGTTGTAGATTGATACAATACCTTCCTTTTATTTATTTATTTTTATATTGTGCCAAGGATCAAACCCAGTGCCTCACATGTGCCAGGCAAGTGCTCTACCACTGAGCCACAACCCCAGCTTTTATGGTATTGTTGTTTATGGTTTTTAATAACAGACTTGGGTGTAGCCTGGTCACTTTAAATTTTTGATAATGAGCAGAGGAGTTGGAGGGAAGATAAGGTAGTAGTTAGCTGCCCTTGCCCTTTTTTCCTCGGGCCATTATGGCAAGATAGGTGCTTTGGAGCAAGAGAGTACCATTATCTCTCTGTCTGGACAGGGACTGAAAATTCTCACCCGTAGGGAGGTAAGTTAGGTACCATCATTCACAGCAGAAAATAAGCAGCTGGGGGCATAAAAGATAGCCTAGCCCTGGAGGATCAGCACTATAATGTCATATGCTGGAACTGACCCATAGACTTAGCCCCACATATTCTTGGGTGACTTGCTTTTGGGAGAATATAAAAGATGTGTTTCATCCATTAGAAAGTTTCTTGACCATCAGGGTGACTTACTGACCCTTTTTCACAGAGCGTCAAATTTGCAGAGCTGAACTAGACCTTAATGGCTACCCAGCTCTGGGCCAGGAGTGGCAGGTGGAAGTAGGCACTGTAGCATGGTAACATCTACTCATCTGACTACTGGCAGTGGGTGTAACTAGGATCTGCTTCTGTGCAGAAGGCATTAGGGACATGCTCTTGAGCATCCTTTATCATGTCTTAAGTCTAGGTAAACCTGTTTTTCTTTCATGATAATAGAGAAAACTCAACAGTTTCTTTCAAGGTATTGCAGACCTACAAGGTAGTCCAGTCCCCTAATGAGAAGTCAGATGTGGACTGGCTAACTTCCAAGTTCTCTCCCCCTAGACCTGACTGCCTCATTACCATTCCCGGGTTTCCTTTGGCTCCCACACTTCTATTGCTTCCACTTACCAGGTCATTCAGGTATGTGACATTGGTAGGCAACTGAGTATGTATGGGGGTCCCTTCTACCCCTAGCTGTTGTCTTTCCTACTAGAAATTATTGGGGCCATTAGAAGTTAGAGTACTAACAGAACCCCCTCAGGTTCCCTGTGCTCCAGCAGTGCTTCCTTGTATCTTTGTCTCCTCAGCATTTCCTCCCAGCTTCTTTCCACTGGTCCTTTTCTCCTTCCTGTTGTCCTGTTCTAATTACCCTAGCTGAAAAATAGCAGTGGGGTGGAGTGTGGAAATAGGTGAAGAGTGATAATGATGTAAATACAGTATCTTTAGATTTTAACCCACACCCAATTCATGTTTATTTTCTTGTCCCTTTTCTCTGCTGTCTTGTCTTTTGTCTAGTGGATCCTCAGTACCACAGTGACTTAGGAGGATGATTGTGCAGCAGCATAGGAATAAGGGCTTCCCCCTTCTGGGCTGACTTGTTAGAGGGATGGGTATTTCCATGGAGAAGAAGCATGCTTCTCTGAAATAAGATTTTAACTCAGACATCCTTCTCGGTAGTGATTTCCCCAGAACACCCTTGAGTGCCCACAGGACAGTTAGTGGAAGGTAGGCCCTTCTGGGCAGTTCCAGAAATGTGGCAGCTTAGACAGGGCCTGGGCAGTCAGTGGCTTTTACCTGACACCTTTGAGTAGCATTTTGCTCCCTCCCTTGCCTGTGTAGCTAGTAGTGAAGCATGGATTCCCAGCAGGCACAGCCAGGGGTGCCCCATGCAGATTTGTGTGCACATACCACATCAGCAAGGGAAAGGCAGCAACAGGCTGGTCATTAAAAACAAAAGCTCTTCCATACCAGTAGTGTAAAGACAGCAGTAGCCTGTACACTTCTGCTTCTGATAGGCCTTGACCTTAGGACACCTTCTTGTCCTCTCTGGACCTGATTTTGCCCTCTGTGACAAGAAGGGACTTGAGGTGACTCTCAGCTGAATGATTTTTCCATTTGTTTGGAGGAGCTGCCTTTTGAAGGCTCTCTGTACCTTTCTTTCTTTGTTTCTTTGTGCCTTTTATCAGCAGCAGAGCAGAGCACTGACAGCTCTCCTCTGAGAGATGGATTCCAGAGGAGGCTGAGCTGGGCTGAATGACTGCAGCCATCTCAGTTGGCCCCAGAGGCCAGCAGCCTTGAAGGAAGAACCTCTGGTTGGCCAGGATTGAGGGGGTGGGATGGAAGAGTCACATGGCTATGCTTCTCCATTTGGGATTTAAACTGCTTCCTGTTTTACTTTTAGGACGAATACCTTTCCCTCATGGCCAGGCTCATTATCCATTTTCGAGATATTTGTAAGTAAGATTTCACATTTCTGGTTTGTTGTGATCACTGTGAGAAACAAGTTCTGTTGCTATCTGTTGGCTCTCTGGGTGGATCTTGTTCCTGATTTGGAACATCTGTGTCAGCTTGTCTGCTTCTGGGAAATTCCTCACTGCATAGCATTTGATTCCAAATTCTCCATCCTCTCAGAGCCTGAGTCTCAAAAATGCTGATTCTGACATGGAAATGTTGGCCTCAAAGTGGTCTATACTGGATTGATGTTTTCACTTGTGTACTTGATCTCTGTTTTTATAGAAAGCTTTAAACTCTGGGCAATTTTAAATAAGCAGTTTACCCTGGAGCAGATGCTTTCTTCTTAATAGTTGGCTTTATTCACCTATATAGGCCTGATTTAAATGTGTGTTTCTGTGACTTGAAGCTTCTGGGTCATCCTTCTAAGTTCCCACCCCTTGTTCCCTGCCATGTAGAGGGTCCCTTCACCTCATGTTGTATCCCCTGACTTAGGGAATTCTTTTGTTCTCTCAGACTGACCAGGTAGTGGCCCTAGTTCTTAAGTAGATGCTGGCACAACTTCTACGAGGACCTACCCCACGGGCCCCTTCATTTTCGGCCAAAGACCCACCACCCAAGATGGCCCTGGGCCCTGTTAGTATACCCTAATCTCAAGACACCTATGTATCCACACCCTAAATGCCAATTAAAGGGTCACTGGGCCATGGATTGCCCAGCCCGGCCCCCAAAGATCCGCCCTGAGCCCAGACCTGATTCTTTTGTGGCTGGCAACGGACTACTGAAGGGGCCTTGGAACTATCCACCCCCCCACCCGTCCCCCGATGACCACCATCACCTTTCAGGGAGCCCAAGGTCACTATTATGGTGGATGGTCACTATTATGGTGGATGGACGCCTATATCCCCTTTTAGACTCATGGGCCACTTATTTAGTCTTTTTTTTTTTTTTTAAGAGAGTGAGAGGAGAGAGAGAGAGAGAGAATTTTTAATATTTTTTTAGTTCTCGGCAGACACAACATCTTTGTTGGTATGTGGTGCTGAGGATCGAACCCAGGCCGCACGCATGCCAGACTAGCGCACTACCGCCTCAGCCACATTCCCAGCCCACTTTTTTAGTCTTAAGGGAGTTTTGGTGACCCACTGTTTCCATCCTGTTCCCCCATTGTCGGATTAGAGGACATAGAATCCTTCCCCTTAAAATCCTCAAGCTCTCTTGTACGTTTTACCACTATCCTTTCTCTTGCCAGTTTTTGGTAATGCCCCAAGACCCCATTCCCCTATTGGGAAGGGACATCTTAGCCAAATTCCATGCCTCCATCACACTCCATCCCAGCCTTTCTTTTATCCTCAGCCTTGCAGCAGCAACCCACACATCCATAGGCTCCCCTACTTCTCTCTCTCCGGAGGTAAGCCCTCAAGTTTGGGACAGTTCCACACACTGGCTCAGTGTGTTCCTGTCGGAATTCATCTTAAGGACCCTCAGCATTTCCCTTGTCAATCTTGATACCCTCTTCCAACTAGCAGTCTTCAAGGCCTACAGCCCATTATTAAGGACCTATGGTTCAGGGGCTTAATAAGACCTCATCACTAACTGCACCATTTGTCAAAGAACCAATCCTAATACCCTTCTCAGACCAGGCTCCTTTCCAGGCTCGAAGACAATTTCCAGGATCCGATTGGCAATTGGATTTCACACACATGCCCAGGGTCAAGAGGTATCTCTGTCTCTTTGTCCTTGTAGACACTTTCTCAGGATGAGGGGAAGCTTTTCCTACCACCAACAAAAGGGAATCCATGGTCACCTCTGTTTTGCTCACAGATGTCATCCCAAGATTTGAGGTCCCTACCTTGTTGGCATCAGACAATGGCCCGAGTTTACCTTACAATCCACACAACTCATTGTTGAGGCTCTCCACATTCCCTGGAATCTATACATCCTCTATCATCCCACCTCTTCAAGCAAGAACACGTTAAAGTCACCCTAAAGGAGACCCTCACCAAGCTCTCCCTCGAACTACATCTCCACTGGGTTAAATTTCTCCTAGTCACCCTGTTTCACCTTTGGGCATTCCCCAAAAGGCCAACTCAAACATCCCTTTTAAGGTGATGTATGGAAGCCCATCCCTACTATCTGTGATGACTCCTTCACCCTGCATTCTTCCAGAACATCTCAGTCACCTCCTTCTTAGTTTCATCCAAACACAGATTTGGAAACACCAGGAAACTCTATTACCTGATCCTTCTCCCTTGTCACACATCTCTTTCCCCTTAACCCCAGGTGACTGGGTATATTTCTCTCTTCCTTCTGGTGACATGCCTACCCTGACTCCTAAATGGAAGGGCCCCCTATGGATTATCTTGTGCACTCCCACTGCTGCCCACCTACAGGAGTCCCAGGCAAACTGACTTCACAGATTCACATTTCCACGCTGAAACTGGCCCCACCTCCGACTGAGGGAGCCGAGACTGACCGTCCACCATCCTCCTAACTACAAATATGTCTGCTCCATCACTCCTGAGAATCCTTTAAAGCTCCACATCTCACACCTGAGGGTTCCTTCCCCCCTTCTCAAGGAGGACCTTCCCCAACCCGAGAAACCCTCCCAACAAGATGCCTCACTCTAGTTCCACCCGTGTCTTTTGCCACCCTCCTGGCATCCACCTCCCTCACACCTACCCAGTCGGCTTCCTCAGACATCCCAGATTGCCCCAACAATTGGGATTTTCTTGTTTTGTGACTTTCTACCATGAATCATAAAATTCCTGCAGGATCAAACAGGCAAAATATCTAGTGAGACCTTTAACCAGATTCTCGTCAGGGATTTCCAGCTACTTGCTACTCAGAGGAACCTATCCCTTACGTGAAGGCCTCACCAATGGCTGACAGAACTTCACCATCGTGGATATGGAGCTACAAAACGGAAACACGACTGGGGAACTTCACTTGCCTGTCACACAGGGTTTCTAGGCCCATTCACTTTTGTGTGCCTCCTCCTGACCGCTGGTCTTTTCTCAGCCAGTCCCTTTCACTGGACTTCTGGCCAGAAGCTAAAGTGTTGTCTCCTCTTTCCTCCTCTTCTCCTTACCTTCAGGTGTCTTTGGTGTTTTAGGGTTATCACGTGGTGCACCTGCTTCGTAGAGTCCACGGAGGCCCTCCAACAGGACATCTGGCTGAGTCCCCCCATTTGCAGGGACAAAGATTGTATCGAGACTACCCATGACCTATGGCTTTGAGGAACTTTCATCGATTTCGGCCCCAAGGAAATTCACATCTTCAGTGCCCTGGCCTTTACAGCTATGCTTCTCTTGTCCCCACACCCTGACCACCACTCCCTTCCTTCACACTTGTCGTCCCTCTCCAGCAGGAAGTAGCCAGAAAATCTCATAGCCCTGTTCCCAACACAAAAACAAACAGGGAGGAATGTTGGGTATTTGGAAGACTCCCCGCCAAAGTTAAGTTTCCTCTCAGGAGAACATCACTTACCCCTACCCCTCCTCTCCAAAGGGCGCCAAGACAAAGAGCACCAAATTCAAAGGTTTTCTTGACCAATCCCCACAGGACACAGTGTCTGCTTGCTGTTCCTGAGTCACCCTGCCAATCAACACCTGCCAAGTCACCTATACAATCCTTCTTAAGCCAAAGCTTGCAAGCTCTCTGCCTTCTTCCACTCTTACCTCTTCCTCTTCTTTCTCTATCTCTCTGCTCTGGTCTCTTTCGCTCTGCTCTCCTCTTCTCTCTCTGGTCTCTGCCTCTCCTTTTCTTCCCCTTCGGACAGCCCCCCAATAAAATCTCTTGGTTGAATCTGTGTCTTGGTGAGTCACTCGTGTTTCAGTGTACACCTGTAATCCTAGCCACTAAAAAGGTTGAGGCAGGAGGATTGCAAGTTCAAGGCCAGCCTCAGCAACTCAAAATAAAAAAAGGTTGGGTGTATAGCTCAGTGGCACAGTGGCTCTGGACTCAATCCAGTATTGAAAAAAAATGTACAAAAGAGTGTTAACAGTTACACTGCTTTATGAATATGTGAATAGACTAGAAAATGCTAAATTGAATTCACAATCCCTAAAATATGGAACCAACCAAGGTGTCTAATAGATGACTGGATAAAGAAAATGTGGTGGGGCTGGGGATGTGGCTCAAGTGGTAGCGCGCTCGCCTGGCATGCGTGCGGCCCGGGTTCGATCCTCAGCACCATATACCAACAAAGATGTTGTGTCCGCTGAGAACTAAAAAATAATAAATATTAAAAAATTCTCTCTCTTAAAAAAAAAAAAAAAAAGAAAATGTGGTGTGTGTGTGTGTAATATTTTCCCCCCAATGGAATATTACTCAGCTTTAAAGAAGAATAAAATTATGGCATTTGCCAGTAAATGGATGAAGCTGGAGAATATCATGCTAAGTGAAATATGCCAATCCCAAAAAACCAAAGGCTGAATGTTTTATCTAATATGTGGATGCTATTTCACAATAAGGCAGGAGGCACTAGAGAAGAATAGTGTTACATTAGATTAGGTAGAGTGAGGGAAGGGGAGGGGACGTGGGGATAGGAAGGGGAGGGCATGTACAATAAAACAGACATTATTACTTTATGTATATATGTGACTGTATGATCAATTTGATTCTATAACATGTACACTCAGAAAAAATGAGGAATTATATCCCATCTATGTATGATATATCAAAATGCATAAATGTATTCTATCATGTACAGTTAATTAAAATAAAAAATACACAAAAAAGTAAATTAAAAAGAAAAAACGGTGAACTGGCCACTCACAGTGGTACATGCTAATAATCCCAGCCAGCTAACTGAAAGTTTGAGTCAGGAAGATTGCAAGTTCAAGGCCAGTGTCAGGATCTCAGCAAGATGCTCAGCAACTCTGTGAGAACCTGTCACAAAATAAAAGGGACCAGAGATATAGCTCAGTGGTAAAGTGTCCCTGAGTTCAATCCTCAATACGAAAAGAAAAAGGATTTCCTAAAATCGCGAACCACTCTGTGGTATGTGAATTATATCACAATTAAAAAATATACAAGCGGGGTGGTGCAGATAATGTGATCGATCATTCTGGTTGGCCTGGAGCTGAGGTGGATACAGGAACTCAGCACTTTCAGAACTAAAACCTGCAAAATCCCAGGCAAACCAGGACAAGTTGATCATACCTAGGTATAATTTTTTACAAATTATTTTGGGAGAATGATAGCAAAAAAGTTTGAAGATGTGAAAAGCTTTCACATCAATGCAAGATCTGAAACTGATGGCAAGAGGGGCTCCTTTGGGGATTTTGGTCACACCCCTCCCACCCCACCCTTTTCCTGCCTAAGGCTAAGAAACAAGGGGTCTACATAGTCCAGATGGGGCCTAGAATTCAGTGTGTATCATTAGGTGCCAGTATACTTACTCTCTGAAGGTCAAATTTGTATTTACCTTGCTCTTGTGAAGTCACCTCACACCACCCCTAACCCCCCCACCTATGACCACATGATAAGTCCATCGGTCCAATGTGGAGAAATTTTATCCTCATAAAATTATACTCAGAACCCCAGAATCCTCTCATTCGACCTCCCACTCACTTTGTTTTGATGTCAGTCCTCCAGGGACCAACTGGGCTGAATGTGTTCTCTATAACAGGGACAAGAAGAAAGCTCAATATGAAGACTCTGAAAATTAACAAACATAGTTTGTCACAAAATAAAGCCATGGTGGAATCTGAGATTACAGGTCCAATGGAAAGAAGCCTCACGAGAGTGTCTGGTAACTCACTCAGACACAGTTCTGGCAGTCACAGGAAGGCAGGGAACAGAACCTTTCACACAATTGGTGTTCACACGTATTTGATAAAGAAGCACCCTCTATCTGGAGCAGTAACTAGGGAGGCTGAGACAGGAGGATCACAAGTTCGAGGCTAGCATGGACAACTTAGCAAGATCCTGTCTCGAAATTTTTTAAAGGGATTGGAAATGTAGCTCAGGGGTAAAGTACCCCTGGGTTCGATCCCCCAAAAAAGAAGAAAAAAAAAGAAAGACCCTCTCCCAAGAATTGCTGAAGACATCTGACTGGCAGTTTGTTTGGCTATTCCTGAAGGATTCAGACCTCAAGGACTTGATGAGGCCAAAACACAGTAGGGTCATAGAAAATGTTAAAGGTCAGCCCCTCCAGCGGACAGCACTGGGAGTTCCATACAGCAACCACTCTCTCCAGCTCCAGACACATACTGTACAGGCCACGAAAGACCGCCGCTCCGGGAGAGGGCGCGTGACTCCCTGATGCCAGGGTCTGGGAAAGTTAACAACAGGTAAGGAGAACTCCATTTCCCGTAGGCCCTCGCGCGTGACTCCATTTCCCACAATACATGCACTACTTCCGGTGCGGCCAAGGATCCGCGGACGTCTTCCGGGTTTGGGCCTGGCTCTAAGGTAGAGGCGGCTGCGGCGGCGGCGGCGGAGGAGGAGGAGGAGGAGGAGGGGTGGGACGCGGCTTGTGGAAACTGAGTTACCGCCATGGACGTATCGGGGCAGGAGACCGATTGGCGGAGCGCCGCCTTCCGGCAGAAGCTGGTTAGTCAAATGTGAGTAGGGGCCGGGGCCGAGACGGGGGACTGGATGGCCGGACATTCCTTTCTCGCGCGGGGGGCGAGGCCGATGCTGGACCCAGTTCTAGATCCCGGGCCCGGGAACCTGCGGGGTCTCCAGGGCACCTAGAGATGAAAGGTACTCACGACTTTCGTGAGCCCAAGGGCGTGGCCCTCTGTGGTTACCTCCTCTGTTGGTGGGTAAGGCTGCTTGTTAGCTTTCCAGGTCTGAACTCTGCAAACCATCGAGCCTTGGCTTATGAGTCATCGTCCTGGGTTTTCTCATTCGTCATTTGTGTGCTTTGGGTGCGGACTTTCCCCCGCTTTGGTTCACACTGGATACGGAAAGGGAAAGAGGCAGCCCGTAGTGATTTTACCAAGCGTTTCGAGGTTTCTCTTTCAGGAAAGCACTTCAGAATATTTTTTTCCGGGGGAGGGGGCGGTATATGTAATATACATGGGGAGGGGAAGAAAGTGAGGGTGTGTGTGTGAACTGTGGGCGGTAGGGACTGAGAAGCTAAGGATGACCCGTCAGAGTAGTAGGAACTTGGCCAAAGAGTGGCAGGAAGCGGCTGTCAGGAAGTGATCTTTGATTCTGGAGGAGGGGGTGAAGAACTGGAGTTGGTGTCTCCTCCCAAAGGAACTCCAGCCCCTCACCACTGAGTACTTGTTTAATTTAGCAGTTTTTAACTGAGCTTACTGGAGAGTTGTGCTCACCACAGAATTGCCAGAAACACAACCACTGCCCTGGGAGATGGAACTGTCAGTAGAGGAACAGTTCCTTGCAGTTTGCTCCCTTAGGCTGTGGGTGCTGCAGGGGCTTCTTGCAAAGTCGCAGTTAGCTGACCAGGAGCACCCTTGTGGAGTAGGTGATGAACAAACTGAGTCCTAGCAAGACATGTAGGAGTGTGAAATACTACCATTCCAAGCAGAAGATTGGGGAAATGAGAGCACTTAATTGCATAAAGGACCTTGTTGGGGCTGAGAGTTCTAGGGTTGGGGAGTAAGGAGGTCCTGGAGATAATGGATGAGATGACCCAGTGCTGTCATGTTAATGATTGGGAGTGTTGTTCTAAGGAGTTTAGCCTGTATTTGATAAGTGGCCTACTTTGAGGTGGTGAAATGCAGGTCGTGTTGGGAAGATCCCCTGAGTCCTTGGAAATGAATCAAGGACAGAAGATAGGCATTTAGGCTGTTTGGGGAGTTTTATTAAGCTCTTGGGGGACACACACCTGTCCTTCATCCTGTTTTCCCCTCTGCTAGATTACTGCCTATCACATTTATCTGTAAAATGTTTGTGGGATGACTTAATTAGACAGGAGATTATAAAGGCCTGCTTAGGGTAGAAACTGAAAGAGGAAGACAGGATTCCAGAGAAAGGGAAGCTTGTGGACAATACTGGATGACTAACTGGGGGTGGGATGAAACTGTGTGGAAGAAAGGAAGCTGGCTGAATGCTGGGAAACCTTAGTACTGTGGAAGAAGTGGGGACTGTAGTGATAGTGGCTTCTTGGTATCACCACAGCATAGCCTCTGGAGAGGTCTGCAGACTTTGCAGAATCATTGAACAGCATTTTATGGAAGCATTTGAGTTACTTCTAGGTGAAATCTCAAAGGATAACCCCCATCACCAGTCAGGAGAGAGGGCTGGAGAAGTGTCAGAGGGCTGGGGGAACATTGAAAGTTTCCTTTTGCTGTTGAGATCAACCAGTGGATACTTCATAATTCAGTTTCCTTGTGCTTCCAGGAGATCTGAAGTTGTTCCTTTTCCATTTGTGAGGAGCACCTATTGGAGATTGAACCCTCAAAGGTGCCTTACCCCTGAGCTACATCCCCAGCTCTTTTTAATTTTTAATTGAGTTAAGGGTCTTAGTAAGTTAACACCCTTATTAGACTGGCCTTGAACTTGGTTTCCTCCTGCTGCAGCCTCCTGAGTTGCAGGGGTTATAGGCATGCACTACCACACCCTGCTTTTTCTTCTTGCCAGATTGCCGCCTGTGTATTATTTTTACACTACTGCTACAAAAAAATTACACACATTTAGCATCTTGAAACAACACAGATTTATAATCTGGTTATTTCTGTAGGTCAGAAGTTCAGGTAAGCTTAACTGGGTCTCCTAATTAAGAGTCTTAGAAGACTAAAATCAAGATATTGTCAGTATACATTTCTTGCTGGAGGCTCTGGAATAGAATCTGCTTCCAAACCCATTCAGACTGCTGGCCAAATTCA